CATGCGTTTAGATCAACCCTTAAGAACCTAAACCCTTAACCCCCACACGTAGCCCCGCGACGTCTGCGCCACACTCTGCTGCATGAAGCCCAGGCCGCACCATGGCCTTCTGGGGTACATTCTTTGAGGAGTTCATAGGGGTCATACACGTATATTCACGAGAGGTAGACAAGGGATATACAAGGATCCTGAAGGGGTTATTTCGTTATATGAAGGGCTATATAACAGCTGTAAGGAATACATGGGATTGTATTATATCGGATCATATAGGGATTATGGATTTAGAAACATTACGCCAATGCTGGAAAATCATAGAGAAAGAGGGATGAACAAATGAAAACTGAGTTTATATAGTAGTTTGTAGGGGGGCTAAATAGGGGTCCTCATTTGGACGTCCCGATAATAAGGATTATTGCACATTGGATTCAATTTTGGGGCCGCATAGTTGTAGAAACACAGGACTTAGGATTATATAGGACTCCCTGTGGATGCAAAGAAGTTCAGTTCTGGATTGCGGTCATAGAGATCTCCCCCTCAAAAAGCCATAATGAAACCTGGAAGCGACACGGTTGCAGGCATTGACAGCGTTGGGATTGTCTGCACTTGTCTGCTCAAGCCTGCACAGATATGCTACAAAGCATACAAACCTTGAGGCATAGTTCAGTTGAACCTCCAAAAACCAACATGTCTCAGCAAAACCCATCAATACTGGGCTCATGACTTGCTCATGAGAAGAGGCTCAATGCGAGAGGTGCAGGCCGAGAACCTGATGCGCTGGAGGTCTCCGTGGCACTGCGGGGCCGGGCATAAAGCATGAAACTAAATGCACTTTCTGCATAACACATCATAGCACTACTGGGAACAGTACCTTAATCAAGGGAGCACAAGCTTGAGAACTGGGAGGTCCCGGAGCAGTCTTCGATTGAGGAATCTGGGATTCTTGTGGATCTTTTTGTTGCCCACTTGCGCCTTTGAGGGCGGAGCCTGCTTGGAGCCTGCTTGGAACCCATTTGAATTAGCATACCATCGTCTTTTCGCAGCCGAGCCCGGAATGTGCGAGCCTCGCAAACTTGCGAGGGCGTTGACAACTAGACGAACGACTATGCGCTGAAGTTTGCATTAACTTGTACACCTAACGTTGTAGGGTCCTGATTTGGCGGACCCCGAATCCTGAATGTGATTTGATGTAGAAATCTCCCGTGGTCACATTGAGCGGGCAATCTCGAATTGCTGTGCGGATGCCATCGTCAAAGCCGATGTGCGAACAACCATGGTCCCCAAGGAAAACACACATTCTGCCATCGGAACATGGGCAACGCTGGGACAACATGCAAACAGAGTGGGCTTCATCAAGTTGTAAGTTATAGCCCCCCTGAAGTAGATAGAATATGGCTTTGGGTATATTATAACTAGATCTCCATATACCCCATATTCTATCTACTTGAGGGGGACTATACACTTTCCATGGGAATGTCATGCTCCATGAGCCTAGGAGACGTGACAACTGAAGGTTGTCACATCAAACAAAGCCTTGGCTTGCACAATCAATTCTTTTCATCCCAAGATTAACCCCAATATTAACCCCAATATAACCCCTATATAATATAGTAGTTTCCATTTTCTTTTACATTATCCCAAAGTGAACCCCAATATGACCCCTATAGGTATTGAACATGCTTACAAAGGCCCAAGATGTGTGGGGATATGTCAAACGTTCAAGGCAAGGCGAGCCTAAACCCTTACCCCTCAACCCTGAACCCTAAACCTTTAACCCTAAACCCTAAAACATCAACCCTAAACCCCCTTCCCCAAACCAAAGAGTTTAGGGTTTAGGGTTAGTTTAGGCTTTCTCACCCTACACCCTTACCCCTCAACCCTAAACCTAAAAAACTAACCCTAAACCCTAAACTCTTTGGTTTGGGGAAGGAGGGAGTTCCTAGAGCTTGGGAGCTGACAGCGCGTCCTGGCTCTCTTGCGGTAACGAGCCATCTGGCCTGCACTTGCATGGTCGATTCGTGATACAGGGGATGATAATATAGTTTATATTGGGATTATACAAAGGTTATATAGGGGAGATCTTGGGGGTGTATTGGGATAATGGAAAAGAAAATGGAAACAACTACTTAGGGTTTAGGGTTTAGGAAGAATATCAGGACATCTCGGGTTGAAGGGGAGTTCTAATGGGCTTTACGAGGGTTATGTTTGGGTTATATGAGAGTTATGATGGATTCTATAGGTGTTCTATAGGGACATAGAGGGTTGGCATTTAGGGGTTCTAGAGGGATTCTATAGGGATAGCAGTGGCGCGAATACCACCACTACCGCTACCTCGACAACGACTATAGCAAAGAACACCACTGCTGCCCCAACAACTACCACAACCCCTCAACAGAATCGTATATGTCCCCATAGAACCCATTATAACCCCATATACCCCTCTATGGACTACTACACCTTACACCTCCTCTTGCGGCTGCAAAAGGAAGACTTCGGGGTTGGCGCGACAGATCATTTGAAAAACGTGAAAGATCGTTGTCTACAACCGCAACAAAAAAGAAATCGTAAGCTGCGCTCATATTCAAAGATTTAGGATTGATGTTTAAGCTTTCACTGTTCAGCTCACAGTCGCCATGCTTTTGAAATGCCAGGCTCCCGCATTGTCCACCATGTCATTTCAGGGTCAGATAACACCAAGTGACGACAATGACGCTCCAGCTTCTAGCTTTCTCCGGAAGCTGCTTGCGGTGCCAAATGCAGAATGGCAGCAGACAACAATGGTGGATTAAACAACGGTAAAATGCAGTACAACAGCTCTTGATCTAGTGCTGAGCGCAGGTACAACACAATGACCAGTCATGCTGACTTTTAACTCTGGACGAGCATAACGACCTGCGCGACAATTGTATACGATACATATCTGTACCTGTAAGCTATGTACCTCAAACTTTGATGGTGGGCGCAAGACAAATCTGCAATACCCTACAAGCCTCCCTATGAGCCCCCTGCATTTTCGATTCCTGGATCTCTTTCAAAGCTTGTCTGCCTCGTCTCCAGGCACGACCAGACGACACTCTTCCAACGGCGGCCGCCGCTGAGTGCGCTCCTGGGAGTCTGCAAGGTTGCGATTGACTCAGATGAAAGGATCTGATGATTTTCGGATTTTAAATGTATTGGCTTTTGCGCATAAAGATTCCTTGGAACTCTGGGTGGTGTAGGGATCCAGATAATGAAGGGCCCGCAGAGATTAGGAAAGGTCCGTGCCATCGCGCTGAAGTTGTATACCAGCTGAAGGAATTGGCACCACGCGGCCAACGAATGCCATACTTGTGCTGAAAATTTCATCCGAATCATTCCAGCATTAGAAGAACTAAAGGCAATCGTTGACTTGATGCTGCCCATCATAGGATCCGCTAGGAAAACTCCAGGTCTTGATGATGATCAGCTGACAGACGAGAATACCTCAACCCCCTTCGCTTTTAGCCAATTAGCCAATGGAGAAGTTCAGCAGGAAAATTCTACAACCTCCGAGAGCTGCGATTTGCGGATGCAGGACTCCAACACGATTGTGATATGCAACTGCAGAGCCCGGGCTGTACAAACCTCAGTCGCAGATCGGAGCTCCAATCGCTCTTGGGGCCCTGCGTGTCAGCAATGACCTGGCAGCAACCCTCAAGGTTCTTCAAGCTTGGGTTGTGAAATGTTATCGCTCTGGTGTTCGGTGAGGATTGCTATCTAAAACTTTAGACGCTGAAAACTGGATTGTATTTCGGTACGGACTCTACACATGAGCTATAGTCCGAACTCCTAGTATCCCCCTTATAGCCCCCATCCCTTATGTAGCCCCCTTTAAGGAGTTTAGACTATAGCTCACATCAATCCCCGAGCTTTGGGCCGAGCATGCTATCCGTTATTGCGCTCACATAGGAGGGTACTACTACAGAATACTACAGATACGTCCTCGAGGGGAGTTTCCCCCACCGAGCAAGGGAGTCCTCGTGGAGTTGCCCAGAAGGACCTATCCCGCAGAGCACGTGTGGGCGTCTTACGTCTGAGAATCCGAATGGATACTTACACAAAACAGATTCACAAGCCCAGCAATTGAAGGGCTACATGTCAAAACAAGAAAACAGTCTGACAAACCCCAGCCCCTGAATCTCTGAACACAACGAACCCTGGATTCCTTGAAGTTGAGGCCTCCAAATCTCCGCAGCCTCCCATGTCTGTCGGGCCCCGGATAATGATCTGCAACAGCGGAAGGCTTGTGTCATGGGTGTTGAGGCTGTTGGATTTGAGGTGGAGGCCTCATCATGTTACAAGGGCCAGAATTCATGCACTCTTCTGGATCTCGTCAGGTGATGTCATCTTCCTGGCCCTCATGTGCTTAGGGCTTAGAAGGTCCTACCTACGCAAGCCACAGGTGATGGGTGGGGGATTGTATCACCGGAAGTCGCAGAAGAAGACCGCAACTGCGACCAGCTTCAAAAGTGCTACATTACCCCAGGTCCCACATTCCTCATCGCATCCATCGCAGAGATGCTGACATCCGACTTGAGATGACTTGAGGTTACCATAAAGCACAGATCTGTTTTCCCAAACCGCGGGAATAAGTTGATAGAGCCTAGCCATTCTGGCAACCGAGGTGGCTGTAATGCCCACCTCACCATTCACATCATGCTAGTTAGCCAACAGTCGGCATCCTCGGAAAGACAGTGGTTCAGGCACATACTTGTGCAGAAAGTGTTCCATGAGCAGCGAAATGAAAGCACACGTCTTGCTAGAAAAAGGTGATTTGAGAACACGCTCCAACCATTGAAAGAAACAAGCAGGGTCGCAGCCCCCAACGACTCAACGTGAAGCGTGGAAACCAGTACAACCGCCACATATTCAGAGCCACCACTCTCCAAGGACACTCCCCCCAACTGAGCTCGCGATTTGATCCATCTCTGTGGGAGAAAAATCAAAATTTTTCCGAGAACCCTTGGAAACCGGAGAGCTCCAGCCTGTGGCACCTCTGGCATGGCTACAGGACTGTGATCCAGGGGTTGCACGCGCTTCCTGGGCGATCGAGGTTCTTTTGTTAACAGACATGCTGGATGACCACTTGTTCATACCCTCCCATGCTTCAGTAAGGCCGCCACCCAGTCACGCTGACCGGCACAGGCAGCTCATTAGCAAACTTGTCCTCTGGCAGCTAGGGCTGACAAGCTCCTAGCCCTACACACCACTCCTGAAGACACAGCTTGATGTCACGTCCTTGTCCATGCCCCGTGGGTGCAACTGGCTTCGATCAAAGAAGAGCTCCGCAGTGTCTCCCCTCAATAGATCGAAGATGTAGCGACTGGCAACGAGACTGACCATCTGTGGCCCAGGATTCCAAAATCCATGCTGAGTTCGACGCTTCAGCCAGCCCATGGAATCGTAACCCTCAGGCCGAGCAACAACAGCCTCATGTCGCAGCGAAAACAGCACTCAAAGTGACATTCGCCCACGTGATACCACGTGATAGCAAATGGAAGCAGCGCAAGATAACTGCAGCAAGCTGCTACATTTGCTGGCTGCGGCATCCCAGACGTTAACCCCCGAGCATTGATTTCGGCCCTGGCCCTGCGACAATGTCTGATTCCCCTGTCATCTAGTTCTAGATAGGGGGGGGGGGGGGGGG